CAGCGCTGCTTCGACCAGAACCAAGTTCCCGCCATGTGGCAGCTTGGAATAATAACTCCAATTCACAGAGGTGGAAGCAGAACTGATCCCTCCAACTACCGCCCAGTATCCCTTCTTCCCATACTCTCCAAGGTCATGTAATCCATAGTAGCCGATGCACTGGTGTGCTATCTGGAAAACTGCAACATAATCACGCCTGAGCAGCACGGTTTCCGTCGACAGCGGTCATGTACAACGAATTTATTAATTGCACGCAGTATTTGGACCGAGGCAGCTGACGCTGGAGAAGGTGTTGATGTGATCTACCTGGAATTTTCCAAGGCTTTCGATCGTCTAGACCATCGGATACTACTATCCAAGCTGCAGCATTATGGGACCGGAGACCCTCTTTTAAGCTGGATCGCCAACTTTCTACTTCAAAGGTAATTAGTGGTCAGGGTTCGGAGCTCTTTATCGGACCCCATACAAGTTGAGTGTGGTGTGCCGCAAAGCTCAGTTCTAGGTCCACATTTGCTTTTGGTGTTTATTAATGACCTTGCACAAGGAATCGTTACAAGCTTCCTAATGTTTGCCGATGATAGCAAGATCTGGCGCAGGATCCAGGCGAACGCTGACCATCATCTGCTTCAGAGTGACTTAGATACAGTGTATCAATGGTCGACCCAAAAGTTATTGCATTTCAACATCAGTAAATGTAAGGTGCTTTCCATCCGACATCGAAGCAGCTACTCATACCGACTAGGAACGGATGTACTGCAACAATCAACTCTCGAACGTGAATTGGGTATCCTGGTTCAAGTTGACTTGGGTTGCTCCAGGCAATCAGAAAAGGCCTCGAAGACCGGGAACCGACACGTCGGGCTGTTGAGACGGGCGTATGGACAAATAAACAGCTCCACATTTTGACAAATGCTCAGTGCGTATGTTCGCCCCCATGTCGAATACGCAATTCAAGCCTGGCATCCATGGCCGAAACACGACCTTAATGCACTGGAGCAGCCACAACGTCGAGCATCTAAGAACGTAATTGGAATGCGCAATCTTTCCTACCAGGAGAGGCTGCAACGACTGGGATTGTTCAGTGGAAGCTATCGTAGACTACGAGGTGACATGATTATGGCATACTTGATTCTGCAAGACCCACATCATGTGTGCCGGCCTTTACTGCAACTCAGCAGCAATACAAACCTGAGGGGCCACTCATTAAAACTCGCAGAACAATACAGTTGTCTGGAGTGCTGCAGAAATTTCTTTTCCATTCGTGTCTGCCACCCGTGGAATACTCTGCCAGAATCAGTCGTCTCTGCACCGACACTAACAGTATTTAAAAGACGCTTGGACGATGCACTCATCCACTTACACCTTGTTACTTAACACTATGTCTCCATCCTACACCTGGAGCTTACCATGGAGTTATTTGTTGTTAACAGTGGGTGCTGTGAATCTAAGAGGATCGCAGGACTACAGCGAAGCAAACGATAAGACCTTATTTTCAAATTTAAAGTAGTAACTATGTTACTAACCTTATTATCATTATTGTTATGTTGATATCCCCACCAACTATCCAACGAGACTTATAAAGCAACGCTTGTTAACCTGTATAAATTCATTGTACATTGTTCATTGTAGTTTTGTAAACACTGTTCAAATCCACAAAGTATCTCTCTTTGATTAGATAAAAATGGCGATATGGTGGACTTCATGGCCGATTAGAAAAGTGCACAGTGTTATTGGGACAAAGGTTATCCTCCGTTAAATCTAGTTGCGTGGCTTTCAGTAAGACTAACTCTAAACAAACCAAGGTACGTCTTATATTACTCTCGAGTAGCAGGATTTTAGTTGTAATTCTGATAAGGAGTTCATCCCAGTAGTTCACAAGCTACATGGCAGAGCGTAGTACGGAAAAGCACCACAAGCGTTTCGCCCCATCGGTGTTCGTCCGTGGTGCGCATTCCCTCGATCCTCTAAGGAGGATCGAACCCATGACCGCTAGAGGCAGATGCCAACTAGCCAGCAGCTTAAGCCACTGAGCCATAGGGGACGTTGGCTGGGCTAGAATAAGTTGCAAACTAACTTGGACATAGAAGCACTTATCTGCCACTGTCACTGATAGCGGTCAGCCTGCTAGAAGATGACGATGATGATGAGGGAATGCGCACCACTGACGAGCCCAAATATGGCGAAGCTCGTCTGGTGTTTTTGCGAATTAGGCTCTGCTTTGTAGATGTGAACTACTGGGATGAAAGCCTTATCAGAATTACAACTAAAATCCTGCTACTCGCGAGTAATATAAACTGAAAATAGCCACTGCTAGTAGCAAATGCCATGGATTTAGCGTCTAGCGAGAGGACGTCAGCATCTCGCAGGCCAACCACTGTCAGTGACAGTGGAAGATAAGTGGTGATATATCCCAGTTAGTTTGCAAATTATGTAAACCAATGTCCCTCATGGCTCAGTGGCTTAAGCTGCTGGCTGGTTGGCGCTTGCCTCCAGCCGTCATGGATACGACCTTCCTCAGAGGACCAAGGGAATGCGCACCACTGACGAGCCCAAATAAGGCGAAGCGCGTCTGGTGCTTTTCCGGACTAGGTTCTGTTATGTAGTTTGTGAAGTACTAGGATGAAAGTCTTATCAAAGTACGTTTTGTTAATTCAAATGAGAATTAACTAACTGCAAGTTTCTTGAGATTGAAATGCAAGCCACTGGTCTTAGGTCACCATGTTAAGCTAGAAGTATTGAGACTGCTTTCGATTAGGTTATTTGTTGCGAAAATTTCAAAATTCCATTACTCCCTTAAATTAGAAATACCCTTTGTTGATAACAAAACAAATACCAGGAATTCCACTAGAAATAAAGTTATTTCATTCTTAAATATGCTTCTTGCTAGATAAGCCCAGCTAGCATCGTTTAAACCTTTGAGTCCTGAATTAATTTACTGGTAGCTCGACATGAAGCACAAAAGTTTACTCCACACACTGTAGCGCAACTAATCGGAGTTCTCACAGAAGGCTGTTGTACGTAGCCCCGCGGGTACCGGCAGGAATGACGCTTGCGCTGTAGCAGTATTACAATTTAAACAAAGTGGCACTTGTAGTTACGTCCAGGACATGAAGGGTTAAGTAGTATTTCTGTGCTGAATCATAGTATCGTGAATCGCTAAAGGCGAAGGCGCAACTTATCTTTTGGCTTTGGTAACGCAGGTATAACGATCGTGGATGTTCAAATAAAAGCTGAAATGCCTTCTGGAAGTACATTTACAATGTTGGTTTCACGATTTCGATTTTACCTATGTTCATCATTACTGTACTTCGGTAGCTTGCGTACAACTCAGACGCTAACTGTTAGCGATGACACATGAGAACAGTGTCAAATTGGAATTAACAGGGAAGCGGGAAGATGCCTGGCTCAACTTGCAACAAAATGTACTACAAAGTACGTAGAACAAGCAAACTGGAGCGAGAATTGCGTATCTCGCAATTCACTAAGAAATGGCAACTGCTCGGAATTTTTATGCACTAGAACAGATGTATAGTTTGAGAACACATAAACGAACTACGCAATGATACAAATTGCTAGGAGCACAACTACCCACTGGTTCACTATAATAGCATCCCCTAAGGACTCAATAAGGACAAACCTATGGTGAAATTGTCACGTGGGTAAAGCTAAATGGAGTATAATTAACGGGTGGGGACCCGCGTTGTAGCCCCAAAGAGTGTTTGCAGAGTTAGTTGGTCCATATATCCTACAAATTTATTAGTTATTATTTTATTGTGAACTGAGGTGCGTCCTCGGTAAGTCGTCCGAGTGGGCTCTTCGAACTACATAAAGCACTAGCAAGGCCACAAAAATGCCAACCAGACGTTTCGCCTGAGACTGTCAAGCTGATGTGTTCAGGTGTCGCCTTCACCAAATGAACACCAGTCCAGTTCACTCTGAAATGGAAGCTTGTTTCTGAGGACTTAAAATGCAATGTACTCCTTGGAACTAGAAGCATGACTGAAACCTACTGGTTTAAGAAGAAGGTAAGTCGCTAGCCGTACGCCGTAATAGTGCTTCACTGCCGTGCAACCACCATCAGCCGAGCTTGGGCTAAGTACACCGCCAGGACACCTGCCCTTACGCGGATTCGAACCAGTGACCTTATGGTTGTAAACTATGCGCGTAAACCACTCGAACACCGGACGACACCACCGCGATTTAGTTCTGTTAGTTTGAGTTTGACTATGGCTATTATTGGGTACTGTTATCGAGTAATAATTTCCCTTCTTCCGATAACACTGCCTGCGAATAAGATTTACGCGTCATGGTATTTGTTACCGGAACTGTTTAAGACGAAATCAAATTGGTTGTCTTGGTAATTTTCCGATCTAATTGTGCCTCTGCTGCCCTCTATATGTAAGGAATATCGGTTAACCTGCTTCCGACAGTTTACATCCGATAAAATTCTTTATCCGCATTTACTATTAGTTAACAATGTAGAAATAATCACTGACTGAAAAAACGCATGCCCATAGGACCAGCAAACACCAGCTCTGAATTACACGTTAGATGAGATGCGGATAATGAGCAGCATACTTGCGGAACTAAACTGTGACGTGAACGTATGAGGCCAACGGAAGCGACCTTCAACACAGTAGTTCGCCCAGTAGAAGAGCCAAGATGCGTGAAAACAAATATGAGCTAGGGGTAAGGGGTGTCAAAACAGATAAATATTACACAATAGGGTTATTAGAAATGACAGTTGGATTACTGCACGTCAAACTATTAGAACAAAAGTGAAAATCTTGAAAGTAAGCATATTAGAATGTTCGGGTTTTAGCCACATCCGAGCCAAACGTCCAAACGTTATTTCTGTTTTGCAGGGGCATGGTGATAGGGATAGTACAGAAGGCTATCGGGGTGTTGCAACCGTACACAATTCAGGGCTTCAAGAGAGGATGCTTTGGTCAATAAATTTCCAAATCCGGACTGCTGTCGGCCGATGGATGAACTGTCAGAATAGTTCTACTAGCAGCTGGCACGTGACCACAAATCAATTCTCCCATAGCCTGGATAAGTTTATTGAACGATGGGTCTCATACAGACGGATGCGGACGAAGAATTTTACGATGTCACACAGGAGCTGGACGACTTGAAAGTAAGCTGCACACCGCTGTTTCACTATCCAATCCATCACTGGATTTCAGTGAAAATGGCCTCAAATGCTGGGCTCATTTTAAGTTAATCCACCTCTTTCTTAGTGCATATTTCGCTGAAAATTAATGTGTAACGGTTTAGCGAGGCTGGTAGGATTTAATCGCCAGACCGCTACTGTTGCTTCCATAATGACTCAAGGCAGGTCCGCAACGCTATCAGTCCTACGCATTTTGCTGTTCATAAGTATAAACATCCTTATTCTGTCCGCACCGGCGCGCAGAAAAGCAGCTCAAATTTGCATTGGGAGTGCACGCCGTGTGGTTGGATTGCGACAGGAAATCTATATTAAAATCTCCGTTCACTTTGAAGCAGACCTCGGTCATTCCGATCACCAGGACCGTATCCGAATAGGAGGTGTTTTGATGCTGCTCCTCCCAACACTGACACTCTATAACCCGTTTCGCCCCCGTTTGGACTCATCAGACTGAGATGGCATGAGCGGGTGGGGAACTCGGTGCCTAGTGGTTAAAGGCTGAAGCCTTTGAACACGCTTGTGACTTTCGAAACACTATCCTGTTTTAACACCAGTGCACAACACATTCTCAGTAAGTGTTCCGAGCTTCATTGTCTCAAATGTTTGACGCTCTGGAACATGCTCATTATACCGAAACGTGACACAACGATGAAATCATTACTACCGAGATCGTCTTACAACATACGTTCGTCGGCCAATGGCCGAGTGGTCTGCATGTTCGCTTTGCAACCATAAGGTCACCGGTTCGAATCCGCGTAGGGGTGGGCTTCCTCGTGGTTTACTCAGTCCGCGAGGCAGCGAAGCGCCATTACGGCGTTCAGCTGACACATTATTTATCATTGTTATCGACCAAGTAGGGGCGGCGGCGTAATTTGTACTGTCGCATTGACTTGCATTTCGATCTCCTTAATAACCCGGAGACTCAAGTTTTGTACTCACTTTGTTGCGGCTTGCAACTTAGACGTGGTAACATGTTTTACAGCGATCGTATACCGTCCTCCAAGGTCAACTGTAGAAATGCACTGCCGTTTAGCTAATGCTCTGAAGACCCCTCTCGCACCGCACTGCAGTCACCTTCTCCTTGTCGGAAACTTCAATTTGCAAGCTATCAAGCTTCCAGCCACCCTCAGTGAGCAATCTAAAGCCGAACTGCGGTAGCTAGTCGGTCGTCCACCACTTTATAATCAGTTTACCTACCATAAAAGATTCAGAACAGGGAACAAACCAGCCATCCTCGACCTTTTGTTTACCAGTGTGGAACTTAGGATCGACACAGTAAAAGTGATCAGCTCGTTGGGAAGCAGCAATCACTCGACACTGCTTTACCACTACATCTGTTACGCGGAGGACTTCAATTGGGTCAAAGAAGAAATTCGTATCGGAACGCACAACGATATGCTATCCAGCTTCACCAAAGCCATTGATTGGTCCTTCTTAGCAGACCAAGCCCCTGACGTCGATTGGAAGAAATTCATCACCCTTTCAGCACGTTGATAACCAACGTATCAGCGACTAAGAAATGCGACTCAACAAGGGTAAAGTCCTTTCTGATGAGTCGGACGCGGAAACGTGTGTATTTGCGAGTTTCACCTTGGCAAGCTGACAAAGCCAATCCGAAGGCAAAGAATGGGAAGACTTGCATAACCGAGAGAAATTATTCTATCAGCCTGATCCGAGAGGATAAATTAAAACCTTAGCAGGTTTGGGTGAAGTGATTCTGCTCCAACCCCAAGCTACTTTAAAGGTATGCAAAAAACCGTCAAGTAGAGTGCTATGCCCTCTATGAACCCGCATGCGGACAAGAGAAAATTGTGCGAGGAGCAGCCGACGCGCTTAGACAACAATTCGGTTGAATTTTCCATAACACTGATATCCCTTACAATTCTTACACCGAACAGGTCATCAACATCAATTAGGTACATCTCATTTACTGCGGCGGACGTATTGAAGCGACTAATGTCACTGCGTGTGAACAGTTCTCCTGTGCGAACCACTTCCACCCAAGCCTATTGAAAGTGACGTCCAGCACCTTAGCTGAACAATTGTCCCGATTTCGCTAACAGTGTCTAGACAACGTGCAGATCACTGCCGTGTAGAAGCATGGAGTAGTTACTTCCATTTACAATGGGGGCAATCGCGTGGATCAGCAAACTACCGCAAGATAACTCTTCGCATAGTTCTTTCGAAGTTATTGGAATTCGTTAATGCAGAAACCCTCATGAAATATTTGGGAAGATGCAGTATCATCGTACTGGAACAACAACGTTTCCATGGATACCGCTCACGTACTACATACCTCCTGTTAGCCTGTGCCAGCTGGACGGAATCTGTCGACCCTGAGGAGGGAGTTGACGCTGTGCACCATGATTTCTCGATAAGATTTGATCGTCTTAACCATAACATCCTTTCTCTCAAGCAGCTGGCTTTGGTAACCACCGAATGTGTGCATGATTTTTCATGGGAAGCTAACTCAGCGGCTATGACCCTGCTAGGTATGACTGGAACTGATGACGCAAATGTATGAGATTGGTTCGGAGCCAAGCCTAAGGACTTAACTGGATCCAAAACAGTCTGTATATTTAATGTGTTATGCGCCAATAGTCTATGTTCTATAGAATTGGATACCTTGGAAATAATCGACGTAGCTCTGCCAAGTCGAGAAGCCTGCGAGACGCATAAACAGACAACATTTTATGTCAAAAAACAGTGACTGTCCCGCAGTGAGAACCGTAGTTGTGAAACTGTCTGTCACAGGTAATATGGGAAAATGTCCTGGCCGCCCGAATCAATAAATGGAAATGTTGGTTCGTCATGAGCGAAATAAGCTAGAGCTCAGAAAGTCTCATAGTGCTGAATGGTGAGCAAGCAAAAAAGTGGCAGTATCAGCAAAATTAAGCTGGGTTGTTAAATTTACTAGGAATTTCAAGTTCACAACCAGTATTTTGCACTTTGTTGACGATTGGGTAAAAAGAGCTATTAAGCGTAATGATAATGTATGGTATTTGTCAAGAGGTCGTTAAAAACACGAAATATGAAATAAAATAATGTACCAGCGGAGCATATACAAAGCTGGCTTACACGTTGACGATATCTCAGCGATAGTCCAAAAGGATTTAATGTCTGACAAACCATACATGATGACATTCTGGCGAGTACAATTGCCCCATGTACACCCTTCCATTTATTACATTGGTAGTCAACACCAGATAAGTCAAAATAAATTTTGCGTAAAACAATGAGCACAATCGCAGCACATTTTTTAATCTAGGACAAGGGATATAAAAAGTACCGGTACCAAGGTAGTCCAATTAAAAGAACTGGCAAACAGCCTTAAAAAATTTAACGTACGACGGTCACATTTGTACAAAAACTTGTGTGAATAGATTGCGATTCAAATTAAAGTAAAACTTGGTCACTGCGATCAGTGGGACCGCAGCCAAAGCAGACGTAAATTGGGTGCCGCCTGTCCGAAAGCACTGCACAACCACGACGCGTTTCGTTGTCATTTGGTCTGATTACGGCAAATTAGCAGCGTGTAAAACCGCGATCATGGTCTCCGTAACAGAAACCCACACAATTTTCTTTGCCATGTCACGTCAGGCAACGCTTGGCACAACGGTAAATGACTAATTGGATGGTCCTTTTTGAACTGCTATTTGTGTGATTGGATTGCGACGCGCAATCTCAATGTGGACCACAATTAACATAGAAGTGAACCATGAACACTTCGATCAATGGGACCATAGTCAAAGCAGACGGAAATTGGATGCTGTTTGCCCGAGGCTGGACCTTACCGTAACGCGATGGTTTCTGTGTCTCAGCTATCCATTGATCTACGCTGGGTGATGCTACTTTTGCACCTTCAGAGCCACTCACACCAGATTGGCCAATGTTTAGAGGCCAGACAAACTCAGCCTCTTGGTCTTCCAGGTTGGGGGTTGGAATGAGGTGGCTCCTTATTCCTTACAACGGACTCCTTGTAGCCCAACGCCAAACCCGCTGCCTTGCGGTCAGGTTTCTGAACCAAAGGCTTTGGTTGAGAACCCTAATCGTTCTCCTGTCAAAGCCTGGGCAACCTGACAGGACTCTGCCCACGCAATACGATGAACGGCTCTTCAAAATGTTTCTTGATGCTCTGGCCACCACAGTGGACAATCAACGGTGTCCTATCTGCTGCATGGAGCAGGGTGGATAGGGGTTTGGATGCTACTGCTCAAACCTTCCCATCTTCTTATTTCGCCTCTTACGCTTTTCCTCCCTTACCGTCCCGTTCCAGCTTCACTTTTATCCCACCCTGTTTTCAACCCCCAGTTCTCGGCTCTCCCCCACGTTGCTTTGCTAGGCTTCTATCTTTTAGTTTCAACTCACATGTTAACGCGGGGAGACATTCCCGTCCCGTCGACAAACCTATGTTCAAGCAAGCGGATCATTCCAGTCCATCCGCTTCCATTTGGAGCGCTCGATCATCCTTCAGATTGGCATGCCTCAATGTACGCACATTGCTACAGATCGGTCAACAGGCAGCACTTGCCTGAATATTAGCGACCCTCTTGATCGATATCTGCTACTTATCAGAGACCCGTCTGCAAGACTCTAGCTCTGTGTTCACTTTGCAATCCTTTTCAGGTGACACCAGCAGCACTTTCTCATTGCGCCTATCCAGTGACGATGCAGCTTCGAGCACCGGCCAAGCCGGTGTTGGTATTGCCCTGAGTCCCCTGTTGAAGCCGCTCTGGTTGACTGCATTCCAATCAGTAACCGGTTGTGTGCGGTCCTATTGGCTGGCACGTTCAAAACTTCGAACTCGCGCGGGACTAACAGGCTTCTATTCATCATCGCAAATTGGCGAAAATTTGGTAAAAGACGACTTCTATCACCATTTGAACGAGCTCCTTAGCCATAGAAGAAGCACGGACACTGTTGTGCTGGCCGGGGATCTGAACGCACAAGTTAGAAAATTTTCCACT